GGATTTACCTTCTTCGCCGTGTTTGGAAAGCACTGGGATTAGATCCCACTTCATCCCCTCTCACCCCACACCCCCAGCAGCCAGGCTCAGCAGACCATAGGCWGAGGGCTCCTGTGCATGGGCACCCACAGCAGCAGCAGAGAGGGCACAGTTCCAAAAACRGCCCTGGCCACTGCCTGGCCAGCACAGCTGTGCCCTGAGCTTTCCCTTCCATGAAGGTGCCCATTCTTCTGCGGCTTAAGGCTTTTGAGCTCTGTGAGGGGCTCTGTCAGGGAAAATTAAAAAAAAAAAAAAAAAAAAAAAAAAAAAAAAAAAAAAAAAAAAAAAAAAAAAAAGAAAATCTGAGCAGCCCACTCCTCCAGTCCTTTTCCTTTGAGACCAAGGTCAGGTGCTTCTGCTAATGGGGAAGCCCAGAGAGGGGAGCAGTGTCACCCTGTCACCCACTGYGGGCACGCTGGCCCTGCCCTGCTGCACACACAGCCCACCCCAAGAACACAGGGGGTTATGAGCCCAGGGTTCACCAGAGCTCAACTCTCCTTACCTAAGCACTGGTAAAAAAAAAAAAAAATAAAGTATTTGTTGATTTGTGGCATCACAAATGGGATATAAAGCACAAAGCTGACTCCCAGCTCTACAAGAAACATGCTTTGTCGTCCCTGAGGCTGCAGTTTGCTTTCTCTGCTCAAGCAGGCTTCCAGCCACCTCACCAGAAGTCACCAGGCACTGTCCAAGGAAGGCAGAGCTCTCAGCAAGGAGCCCCATGGGCTCCCAAACCCTGGCTGGATTTGCTAGGCAAGAACAAGAACAGCTAAGATATGCCCCACCACACACACTCCCCTTCCCTCCCCTCACATGCCGGAAGGATTATGGGGCCAGTGCAGGGAACTTCTTGTCCTGCCAGGGCATAAACCTTCCTCTCCCGGTCTCCAGGAGGCACAAAGCAGCTCTGAGAGGTTGCAAGCAGACAGGCTTTATATGGAGTTCCCACAAACATCACTGCTTTTATTTAAGGCAGAAAACACAGGATGTTACAGATGAGTGGAAAAATGTGATGTGCCCCACTGCCTGCAGAGCCCCTCAGACTGGAGAATGCTTTTCTGGAAGTCAGAGGGTCTCCAGACAGGATTAGGAAAGCACATAGTGTCTGCTGTAACTTTTTATTTTTGCCCTGCTTGGCTGCAGCTACACCTCCCTGCACCCATGCACAAACACCCTCCCAGCTAGGGTCCCATACCTTCCCTCCCACTTACAACTTCGCAGAGCCCTTTTGTATTTGACTCCTGGGAGGCTCTTTTCAAACTTTTTGGCAGCCCCATCTCTTTGAAACGCTGGAAAGCTACCAGCGAGCAGCCTGGCTCCGGCTCCCTGCCACCAGTGCTGGCAGCAGCTTGCTCTGTCCTCTGCCAGGCTCTGCCCCTCTTCAGGAGCCCAGGGGCAGCCCCAGCCCCGGCTGGGCAGGAGCCACAGMCCCCCTGCCCCTGTCACCTTCACACGGGCAGCTCCTGGTGCTCAGGGGATCCACAGCTTGCACCTGCCAGCAGGCACAAAGCGCCAGCATTCCCTAAACTCTGCACCTCACAGAGTTACAGAGCTCCCTTACACGGCTTTGGGGAGGAATCATCAAAAATACTGTATTTTGCTCCTGTTTTCATGATCATGTGTGACAAAGGCAGCCACAGGTACATTCTTTTGCCCCTAATGTTACCTTGCTTTTTATTCTTCAAGCTAAGCCATTKCCAGCCAACCTAACATGTTTACCAAGATAAACTGGAGACATGAACATGCAGTTTCAGAAAACCGCTGCTCACAACTTACTGAACTGCCCACACACCCATTCACTGATGATCCTTACCTTGCCATCACAGGAGAGCTTGAAAGCAGYACAAGACCTCAGAGCAAAGCACAAACCACATCACTTCTGTAAAGCCAATCAGCCTTAATGGCACCATGCTTAATTTACAGCCCTTGAAACACCTGGCCCAGAGYACCTTTCAGTTGATCACAATTAATATTTGTTGTTTGGCCTGCCCCTAGTGTCAGTGACCATAATTACATGAGCTGGTCAAAAGAGAGGCAGTTACTATTTTTTAACTACAATTCTGGTGGTTTTTTTTTAATCACAGTAAAATAGCTAAGCAGTGCATTGAATGACATAGTATTGCTCACATGCTTAAGCACCTGAGTCCTTGATCTTGTGCTTTATAAAGTGCTCTGAGCTGTGCTGTAATTGCCAATAAATATGCTGCTGATCATGCTTAAAGGGACACTGCCAAGGTTAGAAGGCCGACAGTTTGACTTAGTAAAATGACATCCTAAAATAGTTTTATTCTCAATGTTCCTAAATTACTAACCTGTGGTTTTTATCATGCTTCTTTTTATCAGTCCAGCTCCTAGAAATAATAAGGTTATGGAAGAATGTTCACTTTTAAAGCAATGGACCAGGCACAGGAATAGTATGATGGAGGCTAATGTTTCCATCCTGAACATGCAAATGAAAGCACTTCTCTATAAAACTTATTTTCCTGATGTGAATATGGATGACCTCTATTGCCCTTATGGATTGCCATAAGGTCAGCCCTTGTTAAACCAATGTCTCGTGAAAGAAATCTTCAAGAAAGAGCACAAGGCTGAGGGGATGGGGCCTCAGGAAGTCCGCAGCTTCACAAAGTACCCTTTTTCCTTGGTGTGTCTTTGTCACTCAGCAGTCTTGTTCTAGTTGAGCTGAAGGGGAGGGGATGCAAGAAGAGGGGGTCAGGGAACAGCATTACAAAAGCTAGTGAGGAGACTGAAACTTCTCATCCTCAGCAGAGCTGTTGGGAATGCAGAGGGGTGATGGGATGGGGAAAACCCCGGGCTGGGAGCCCTTTCCCGCACTGTCCCTTCTGCAAATGGCTCTGTGGCTGGAGCCCAGCGTCGGGGAACTGAAGCCAGCTATTGAGGAGCTTTTTGATCTCAGGCAAAGAGCAGAGCTGGACTTTCTCTTAAGGAAAGAATACAAATAGCTGAAGAGTGAAAGGTGGCCTGGGAATTCTCCTTTTATGAAGGGCTTGGTTTGTTTCCGAGCTGAATAACTCAGCTCCCTCCGAGCTGCAGCCTTCCAGCACAGCCTGTACTCATGGGAAACCTGCAGTGCCACAGTTACCAAATCCACAGATGTCAGCAAATGAAAAAGTATGGCTCGTTGGTGCCAGGGACAATGCAAGGCAAACAGGGAGAAGCTGTAAGCGAAGGCTGTGTGGGTGGTGCCAGGGTGGCTGTGTAGGAAGGCATTTCTGGAAGAGAACATGTGGCCTTACAGCCCCCTGCAGTATCCTGCTGGGCTCTGTGCTGCAAGGGTTGAAGACAAAGCTCTCGAGTTTGCAAAGACCAGGCTTCACAACCCTTTCTGCCCAGAAGGTGGGAGATTTGTAGATACCCTGGACAAGAGGCAGAGTTTTGGATGTGCTTCTCCATCACAGGGTCTCCATCACAGGACACACTGTCTAAATGCTAGGGAATTGAGGGTAGCCCTGGAAAAACTGTGTAAAACAAAACTCAGGAAGAGCCAAAAAAACAAAGAGAAGGGAAAGGCCTCTGGAGCCTGGGGAAAAGGCACACCTCCAGCATCCATGCTAAACCGAGGGCTGATGAATGCCCATGGCTGCTGCCATCACTTGAAGGTACAGCTCCTCAAAGAGGTGGGAAGCGTAAATATCTTCTTCACTTTTTCATTTACAGGAAAGAGAAGAAAGTAAAAGAAAATCCTCAGTCTGAAGATGACACAGAACAGAAAAAGACAAGTCTAATGTCAATCTAATGGCAGATATGGCTCAACATTCCAGCAGGTGGGAAGGCGCTGTCCACGCTTCCAGCACGCATCCAAGAGAGTGGGGTGGTGTAGGGGCTGTGTCTCTCACTTGAGCAAGCCTTGCAAGGTGTGAATATGGATATGGATATGGATAAGCACTTGGAAAATGTCTCGTGTCTAACGCCAAAGGGTGTATTTCAGGCTCTTATCAGTTACAGTGAAACGCCTGAAAGTGCAACTTGCATACATTTGAAGAGCTCCAGAAACCAGGACAAAAGCCAGATGAGCCCAAAGTCTGTACTTCTAAAAATCTCATGCTTTTAAGGCAGAGTTTGTTTCTCTGATTTATTTTGAGCTGACTTAATAATTTTAAATGGTTGTCCTTGAGAATTTTAAGACTTCTTTTATTTTTTTTTGTAGGTTCATTCCATAGAAATGCTTAAAAAGCAATAAAGTCAATCTCAATAGCTTTGCTTAAATCCACAATTCGATCAGTTCTATGTTATGGGTATGCAGGGAGAAGCTACCTGAGTAGGAAATAGTAAGGGATTCCTACAACAATAGTTACATTGTTTGTACACATACACGCCATAATAATAACAACAGAAAAGCAATAGCAACCTTGCAGTTACAAAAAACCCAGTTACAAGTGCCCTTTAGAAATGTATGTGTATATTCTTTCTTTACCCAGATTAATARTGTCACTAGGGTCTGGTACTTTATGTATGCTATATCTTCCATCTGATTTATTCAAGTTTTTTTCTGGGTTTCATTTCTTCAAACCTGTATTTGTGCCTTATGTTCACCAAGAGGSACCCAAATTCCATGAGTAAACACCTGGAAGTCTGTAAGAATCCCAGATTAATTTCATGGCAGTGCCTTAAAATGGACAATATCAATCTTCCTTCTGTGATTGGTATATACATTCAACAGTTTTATTGTATGTCAGTGCACATTATTCGGCACAGCTGCTCGAGAGGCATTGCTGAACTGGTGTTTCTCTTCCATGACAAACACCTATTAAGCAGTCAGCATAAACTCTTCTTGTTACAGCCTCTGACATCACCCTCAGGGCAAGCGGACACAGAACAGCAATTGCTGAATCGCGTATGAAAATTATAGTTTTATTGTCTACACAAGTGAAGGTTTAACTCAGATTCCTGTTGGAGTCAGCTGTGATAAAGGAGTGATTCTTTCAGGGAACAAACAAGCACAGTACACCATTGTAATCAAAGGAACAGACACTATTTATGTATTGGAAAGCCTTGTTCACAATAGTGCTAACACTCCAGTGCCCCAGAAGCCACTATTTTAGCAGCTGTAGAGAAAATAAAGCATGACTAACAAGATGCCACACAGAGTCAGATACAGTTTTTTTAGAGCACAGATGGAATCATCCAATTTAATATAATTCCATTTACATGCACGACCAATAAGAGGGGATCATGTATTTAATGTTTATATAAGCATTTTCTCCACCGTAGCGTTCAAAGAGTTCCAGCGTCTCTTGAATGAGAACTGCAAGATTTTCACGCTTCTGCTGGCCGTATTCTATCCCATCACCTAAATTAACTGGTTAATGGAAGACAAAGAAAAAAAAAGAAAGAAAAAAATAATTATATTGAATTTAGTCTTAAACTTCAAAATAATGACATAGGAAATTGCAATTGCTGGTCAGTTCCGGTGTTCTATTTGAAACTTTGTTCTGCAACATGAAACAGAGCTGAATTTGAAAACAGGATGGGTTTGGTATCTCTTTAAGGCTTTGCTCAGGCTCCMGCTTCATATGCTTTAAGAATTTATGTACATATTACTTCAGTATCTAAGCAAAAATCCTAATGAAAATAAMCACATTCTTTAATAAGATGAATATGGATTCTCTCTTTCACAGTTAACCTCTAAAACCATTGCTTCTTTATTTTTAACATTGCTTATTTAAGACAAAATTCTACTGCCAAGTGCATAAGCACTTATCTACAAAAAGTTGCTTAATCTAGACTTGTTATGGTTTGAAATCTTAAACAKGTATTAGTTTGGGATTGCTCCACATTAGTCATCATATTCATGCACTTATGTTGTTCCTGGTAGAGGGAACCAGGCTAAAAGASATTTTTGGAATATAACATGGTGCTCATTCAATTTCAGCTTCCTGAATAATATGTAGAATTAAGTCAAAGTCAAMAGGACAAATCATTGCAGCCCCCAGATGCAGTAACATTTACTGCTGCTTTCTCTAAGATGGACTAGCAAGGCTGACACACATTCATACACACAGACGATAATTCTGTAAAAATCAGTGTGAACAACAAAAATAAGAACAATAAGAAATAATTTCATCTACAAAGATGCTGAGTGATTTAAAGGAGAAAATATATTTCATTTGGTTTTAAAAGAGTATTCTGAAAAATATCTGAAAAAGTATTTGAATATATATTCCAAGACATATATAAAAAAAAATTTGCAAGGGGCCAAATGTACTCAGACCAGGTTTGGTGCAGTGGGGAGGTGGGGCAGCCATCACACTGCTGCAGGGTCATCCCCATGCAAGCAGCCAGTGGGCTCACTCTGGGCAGTGGTGACAATGTGCCCATGTTTACATCTCAAACAACAGTGACACTGTCAGCCAGAGAAAGACCCATTTTTCAAGACAATGCAGCCAACTTCTCAGAGAGAGCTGGCCTTTCACATTTGAAACAGGGCAARCACAAGGGCAAGGGTAGATTTTGCCCCCACTGCTGCTTCCAGATCGCCAGGCTGATGTGATGCAGATGTACAACTGCACCCATCCCCACATTTTCTCCTAGATCTAAGCCCAAAGATCTGCATTTCAAGCTTGGGGCTTTGTTACCAGCAAAAACTGAAGAACCATGATCATGAAGGACGAGCTGGTGAACATGGGTAAAAATCACCCTTTTGCTGATTTTTCCTGTATTATATCTAATTGCACTCCAAGTTAATTGYGTGTATGTCAGTTTTCCACACTGCTTCCACACAGTTATATCACTTTGCTTTTTTTGAAATGGTTAAKCAAATATAGATGTGACATACCAAGGCTGTGCTTCTGAGTGGGAAGAAGGTAATTTTTTTTAATGAGGATTTTTTTTTAAGCACACAATTATTTTCCAATACATTAACTGKTAATTTCACTGACATGAAAAGCCAGGGTTGTGACATCAAAATTCATTACAATGAATTTACTGCAACGTTGCAAACAACAGATTATGAGAGTGCATAGRAAACACCAAGGACTATTAAAAAGAGGATTGGGTTATACAAAAAACCTATGCAAAAAGAAAAACACATCACAATTGAGTGCAACTTAAGARTAAACAAGGTTTGGTCTTGCAGAAGGCAATGGAGATAACTGTGCCTTATCACCTGTCTTGTATGTGCACTGCAAGCCTTCCCCAGAGCACCTAAAGGTATTCCTGATTTCACCAGTTTGAGCAAAGGAAACYCTGAACCTTGACCTAAGTCTTGGCAAATATGTAAAGGAATTACTGACTTTCCAACCATACGTCTATTATCCGTAATTTTAAGCCTACACACATGCTCTGCTAATGAGCTTACACAGCTTTCATCGTTCTTTCAAAGAAGTARTAAAAAAAATCAGCTGTCTGGAAATAATGGTGATACATTGCTAAGGAACTCTGGAGAAGGCCAATTGGAAGCAGCAATAACACTGGTAGCAGAAGTATTTTCCAGAATTGTACAATTTTTATTATAGAACTTAATCTGTACTAAAAATTATGTCTTAGATGCTTGATTAAAAGGTACCTAAGAGTATGAGGCATTGATAAAGGAAGGAGWCTGCAAGGGAAGATTGAATGTGCGATGTGCAGACTGTCATTACAATTTTTTTTCCTACAGACCATCTGTGCTATGTGAAGGTTTGTATCCTCAAGACAGCCATAATTCASACTAATGTCATGACATGTGCTACAACCAACAATACTAGAAAGGTTATGTCAGCATCGAGGTCACCTCATAAGTACTAAAATAGCTATCCTATGTAGTTATAGGAATTAACAAAGCTTTCATACAAAAAAGATAGTCATTAACCCAAGAGGACAACATGCATTAAATGGATGAGTCAGAATGATCTACCCAAAGCACCTAAGGGAAAATATCCGCACAACATAATAATGATGATTAGTTGGAAAAGAAATAGCCATTGAAATATAGCGGTCTCAGCATGCCCTTCTCTGGTTTGACTTTATTTCCAAGTTAGCTTGCCTGAGAAGCCAGCTTTGTCAGCCACAAAAATGTTGCATATGTAAAGTGTGAACATGGATGTGATTCAAACTCTTTATGAAGTTGTCCTTTGTGAGGAAGAATAAATCAACATGAAAATGCTAGGAAGMACATTTGTCACATCTTTTTCTCAAAGTGAAATGTCTGGCAAATTCAGCATGCACCAAGAACTCTTTTCAGAGCAAATGTTATTTCTATGTTTAGAAGAAATGCACTGAAGGACTACTAACAGATMTAGAGGATTCCAATCAGGAAAAGATCTAACTTTCCCTTCCTGGATCAAAAAGTTAGTTCCCAAGCTCCCAAATCACACACTAAGGGTTTTATGGCGCTTAAAGTGCAAGGCTTTGCACCTGTCAAGACCTGTGTTAGCTGATGAAATCACCCAGCACACCAAGGCCAGAGCGGCACTCCCTGCCCTGCCAATGCCAGCTGCTGTAGCCAAGGAAACCCAGTTCAGACCCTCAGGGACTGAACTCAGCCTTTGGCAGGGAACAGAGGARGATTTGAATTTTGCTTTAAAAGGTGGTTTGTATTTGAGTCTAGACATGCTTCTATTCATGATTTGGATATTAAAGAAATTCTGGTGTTATTTGTATTCCRTGTCATTTCATTTTAAAATTTCACTAGGGTAATGCTACAAATATAAAACTTTATTGCATAGAAGAAGGGCAAGTAAATGCCTCTATATGCACTGATAAACGTGATAAAGCAGTTTTGAGATCCTGGAGTGGACAAGAAAGGTAAACCAACCCTTAAATCTCACTCAGATCTATTCTTAACTCTAGCCATTCGTTACCATCTTAAAGTGTCCATGACATTCTTTCAGTTTATTAGATTTTCATTTCAAGGCAGGCTGGATCTCAAAACGGGGGGTTTTTAATCCTCCAGATATGTTGCTTGTAAGTATTTCACAGATACCAAAGCTCCTGGTGGTGATTGTTCCAAAGGTTCTGCTTTATACAAATTAAAATCAGGGTTTTCATACACCTGTGTTGCAGGGTTATCATAGATCTTGGGATATTAGATTTTCCAGAAACGTTAACTGATTTTAAGTGCATATAGTCACACTTGTGTATTTCACCTTGTCTTGGAACAAATGATTCTTAGAAATTTTTGAAGTGCTACTAGTTAACAAAGAGGTCTGCTATAATGGTTTGGGATGGTTGTTTTTTGGGGTTTTTTGGGGGGCGTTTTATTTTTACACAAATTAATAAAACCACTTGGAAAGTTCTGGCATCATTCTTCCCTTTTGAACCTTGAGAAGCAAAGATACTGAAAGGTAAAGTGACTCGCTCCAAGTTATGGAAGGTATCAGCCACAAATAATGATTCTTAACTTTTTATTATCAAAAAATGGAAGTACTATTCATGGTTAAATATAACATGGCAAATATTGGCTTTAAGCAGCTCAGTTCACCCTAATCAAGGCATTTTCAGCAATTAGAATGGCTACAGTAATGAAACATGCTAACATGAATGTTACTTCAAAACAAAAAAAAAAACAGCTGCAATGAAACTGAGGATGTCAGATGACAAAACACAGTTAAGTGGTACAAATTACAATAAAAACATTTGGAGGAAAATTTCAGGACTTTCTTTCCTTCTAGGAGTCATCACCAATACCAAGAAATAAATAGAGGCTGATTTCAGACAGACTGACATGCACCTATGTCAGGGTTCACTTCCCGTAATTTCACTGCTCAAGTACAGTTCAGATCTTAATTAAGTTTTCAAAGTCTTTGTGTTAGGATAAATTTAATTGTCATAGAAGGTGTTGGCTTCCTGACTGGAGTGGAAAATGAAAGCTCCAATGAGTCAGCGTGGGAAGAGAGAGGAAGGCTCCTTTGCACCGCTCCTATCACTGTGACTCAGAATTGTGCTTTGAAATTGTCAGCTCCAGGAAGGATGAGGTAGTTCAGTCTCCCTGTTCATTTAATTGAAAGTCTGTGAAAAGTCACAGGGTAATGCTCCCCTCCATCTGCTAAAGAACACTGGSACATTGCCAGTTCATTTCACTCAGGGCAAGGAAAGGACACCAAGAGGTCATGACTCCTAACCTGGTGCAGCCTTTCTGAAGGCTCAGAGCAATGTAAACGTGAGTTTTCTGTGTTCCTTAGGATAAGTCTAGGTTATGCACACACAAAGCACAAACTGGTCTCATGCAGGTTGGTCCCTAAGCTGGAGTGTTGGAAAGAACTCACTGAGTAATTTATTCTGAAAGGAACCTCTGGAGTCATCCAGTCCAAATGCTCTGCTCTAAGCTCCATTTCCAAAGTTCCATCAGGTTGCCCAGAGTGGAATGCCTGCAGTTGCTCG